CCAGGATTAAAAATAAGGAGAGAATCTTAAAAGTAGCAAGAGAAAAGGAGACTCTTATCAACAAATGAGTGCCCATAAGACTATCAGCTCATTTCTCAAGAGAAACCTTGCCGGCAGGAAGGAGCTGGCAAGAAGTATTCAAAGTCATGAAAGGCAAGGACCTACGTCGAAGATTACTCTATCCAGCAAAGCTATCATTTAGAATGGACGGGCATTCCCACATAAGGTAATGTTAAAGGAGTTCATCGTCACCAAGCTCTTAGTACATGAAATATTAAAGGGATTTATCTAAGGAAAAGAAGAAGATCAAAAACTATGAACTGTAAAATGACAACAAACTCACAACTATCAACAACTGAACCTAAAAAAAAACAAAAACAAACGAAGCGAACAACTAGAACAGGAAGAGAATCACAGAAATGGAGATAAGAGGGGAAGGGGAGGGGGGAGAATGGGGGAAAAAGTACAGGGAATAAGAAGCATAAATGGTAGGTACAAAATAGACAGGGGAAAGCTAAGAACAGTATAGGAAATGGAGAAGCCAAAGAACTTATATGTATGACCCATGGACATGAACTAAGGGGCGGGGGGCATGCCGGTGGGAGAGGTGGTGCAGGGTGGAGGGGAATAAAGGGGACAAAAAAATGGAAAACCGCAATAGCATAATCAATAAAATATATATATTAAAAAAACCCAAAACAGATGGAGCTGATGATACCCAAGCTCACAGAAATGAAATTCCTGCCTCACCTCTGTTCTCCAGGAAGATAACTCATTACAGAGACCCCAGAGGAGAGGGAAAAAAAAACATTTTCTATTCCTGATATAAGCTTTGTAGCCAAATAGATCTAAATATGAATTGTGTTCCAGGTTTAGGCAAGACAATTAACCTCCGTAAGTCTCAATTTTACCATCTGGAATATATAGATAATTAGTACCTACTTCACAGGTGTGCTTTGTAAAATACTTAGTGCATAAAAAATTGGAAGTTCCTTTTTCTCCTGCAAGGCTTAGGGGGGTTACCAATCCCAGTTTCATCTGTCCCTTGTATAAAGTTTTCTCTCTGGCAGCCAGTGTCCAACTTCTTACCTGTCTGTGAAATAACAAAAGCTGAGCTTACTGGTATTCGAGTTGTTGACAAAGGACATCATATTCAGAAGGGATGATGTCCATCCTTCCTGTCCTGATCCTCTCCTCCAACAAATACTAGTCAAAATGCTTACAAGAGGAAGGCTAATTGGGCTAGAAACACATTTTGCTGCTGGCTAAAAAGCAGTCTTGTCAGTACTTCCGTACGTCCATTCTCCCCCACACCAAAAAGAAAGCATCTCTTACAACTCAGGCCCCAGTATGATATTCATTACTTACAAAAACCCCACCACATCTTATAACCTTGCCAGCTTTATCTCCTCCTGTTCATCATCATGTACTTTACCCTCCTGCTAATCATAACTGGAGAAGATTTTTCCAGAAGTCTATATATTGGAAGCCAAACAACAGAACTATGCTAAAAACATTTTAAAACATCATTCAAAATATTAAATCATGATTTAGTATAGGGTGTGTAGTAGTGGTGTGACCAGTTGCTAAACTAAGAGTGATGCATACTGAACAACAGGAACAGGGTAACACACACTACAAGAAACTAGCTTTCAGACAAGATGAAAATTGTGACTGCATATGTTTTGGCAGGTGACATTTATTACAAAGTTAGATCCAATCATGTCTACTGTCTATCAAAACTTGTTTGGATCATTATTCTCTTATATATTAAGATATTCAAAACACTAGAAATGGCATTTTATTAGGCCAGAGCAGTGCAGGTACTGGATATTCTGATACACAGTCTTCTACTCTATTTGCCTTTTCCTGAATAATTTGTTTTTTCTAACTAATCAGTTCCACAGGTTGTTCTTAACTGTTATCGTCCCCATGAAGTCTTTCCTGTTTAAGCCAAACAATTTTTGCCCTACTCAAAACTCTGAGAGCTTATATGTACAGCTCTTAATCGTATTTATCCTGTTCTACATCTGTCTAGTGATGGAATTCATAAAATATGTACAAGTTGGCTCTTAAATTTTGATACTCTAAGAAGCAGCTCACCTTCTTTGCAACAAATTATCCTGAAAGATTAGAACTCAAGGTATTATTATAATGAGAAATATTAATATATAGCTAGAGAAGTGAATTTCAACCTTCTTCATCTCATGGCATACATTAACTACTAAAATTCTGTGGCACACCAAAAACTGTATTATCTGCTGATCTGACAACAAGAAAGTATTATTTTGATTGATTTACAAAAAAAAAAAAAAGCAAATAGTAATTACCTACCTTTTTTGCTCCAAAGTGACCTTATTAAAAATTAGGTGCCTGTACTTGTATAAAAGGATTTCTGGTACCAAGAAGTAACCAATCAGACACAACTTTATTATGCTTCATGACGAGTAAGAGGCCACTCTATTATATGACCAATATATTTATGGTTCAAGAAGGCCTTCGCACCAGATGGCTCTTGTTGTATTGGCTGCTGTTATTTTTTTATTTGACAATCTAAGGGAAAAGAAGTCAGTGCCCCTGACTAGAGTTAGGTATTTCATGTTTTAAAAATTCTCCGCACCAGCTGAAAAATCACTGGTATAGAAAAAAGACTTGAAATTGATATGTGGCCCTATTCACAAATCTAATTGAATAAGAATAAAGATACACTTTCTAAGCAAATGTTATATTTTAATACCACACAAAGGAAGCTGAAAGTGAAATTCACCATTACAATTTGATTCGTTCACATAATTTATTCTTATAATTCAAGATGAAATCTACGTATGCTCAAGATACGGGCATGACAATCGCACTGGATGTTAACCCAAGTGCAAATGAAGCATGTACAAACTCTCTTGACAGGCGTGCAAATCAAACTCCATTGCCTACTGGTACTCCTTTAACTAGAACAGAAATAAAAGTTGTCAAATAAAGGGGGAATAAGAATGAATTTTAGAAGAAAAAGTGTTTGCTACCAAGTTTTGTCCTCTTTCAGAGATAAGGTTATCAGAGGACAAGAACTGGCAAGGAAGTCCTTTCGAAACTTCCTGGGAAGATTTGTAAACCTGTTATTTTCTTTGATACATAAGATCAGAAAAAGAAATACTGCATACCTAGTTGATATAAGGAAACAACAGTGCAAACAATAAATTGAAACATTGCAACTACCTTTATAAGACAAGAACAAATCACTGACTTGAGTTCTTCTTAAAAAGAAAAAATGTATTCAAATGGCTATATATGAGATCACAGATTTTTTAGCTTCTCCATTTTAGATCCATTACATTCTTCCACATTCTCATTTAGCCAATCACCAAATCCTGACAACCTACTGAAAAGTTCCCTAACTCCTCAGACTTCATTGTCACAAACCTATGATCCTGTGATAATTTTCTAATTTTGTCTCTGCTTATCTTCCCCTCAAGCTTAATTTTTTTTCTTGATCATCTGTACCCCTGCCTTACTCAAAATCCCCCAGAAAGGTTCCTCACTTACTACAGACTAAAGATATTACCATTTCACAATATGAGTACATGTTCTTAACCCTTCTTTATTCAGACCCTCTGCTCTAGGCATAATAATCTCCTCTTTGTTTTCTAGGAGACACCATGTTAGTATGCAGTTCAGTCTTGCATTTCTGTTCCATAGCATACTACACTATGCCTCTGTCCAACCACCCAAATCCTGTTAAGGTAACCAACTTCTATTGAGCATTTACTGTGCTCCAATTACAAATGCAACATCTCAAGTCGCATCGTTTTTTCAAGCTCTTTCTTTAAGTCTACAAGGGAGATCTCCTTAATTTTTCTCCTTCATTTAGCATGAAGGAGAGAGAAATACTCAGTTACTCCATCTTTTTAAGTCATACTGACATAGCTGTGATAAATCAAATGAGTGCCAGAGATTAAGGGCTAGGGTTGAAGAGTTAAGACATCATTCATTCATTCATCATCTATCTTGAGCAATTACCATGTGCCAAACACAATTCTGGGTGTGACAGGCAAGGGCCCCATGCTCATGGAATGTGCATGTACATGTGCAAGTGCTGGGGAGAGGGAGGCAACCAACACAGAACACATAAACAAAGGATCACTTCACACTGTGAAAAGTGCTCTAAAGAATAGTACATCACAGGTTTGACATGCTAGGGAATGATCACAAGGCAGCTATTTTAGAAAGGTGGACTGGAAGGACCTCTCAGAGTTACTTGATAACGCAGCCATATGATAAAAAGTTTTAAAATTTAACAAACCATTTTGCTTGAGGTTCAAAGACTCATAATCACATTTGAACATATACGTATCTTATAAAAATCTCCTAAGAAACAACACTCACCAATATGATTACAAATACCGTGTGCACTAAGGTCTAATCAAGATTGCTGTCTTTACAAAAAAACAAACTTTGACGGTCTGTTTCAGGAGACCCAGTTGTGCTCTAAAAGAATACTCCGATCCAATAGCCTCTTCTTCCTTAAACTCAGAGCTTTCTCAGCTGTCCTGAGAACTCTATTAAGAGCCACCAACCCAAGAAAGCATTTATGGGTACAAAGAGATCAGTTCCACTTTCTGGACAAAAAAAAAAAAAAAGTACAGGAAGCAAACACTCAACTTCCTCTACAGGCTCACGACTTAAATCAGTTTCACCAAGAGAAAATGCAGTAATTAATTCTTCAGTGTAGGGTAAAATGCACCGCTCGAATCGGGACCATGACAGGGCCCCCGAAAAACCAGGTCGTCGAGAATGGAAATCCATTTCGGGTAAGTTCGGACTCTGGCTGAAAAATATTGCGGTTCCCTAAACTTCTTTCCTCGTCTGCAAACGTGCATAACAATGAGTCATATCTCTCAAGGTATGTGAAGATGACCATGAGGAACTTTAAAAAGTGCACGAAATGGAGCGGTCTCAAGAAACTTAAACTATAGGAGGAGTGCGAGAGAAAGCCGCGCGAACATTACCTTGACCAGCCACACTCCGGTGTTCTGTTTGGCGCCAGTCAGGTCAAGTTCCCCACGCTCGGCCATGGGTCTGTCGCTGGTGGACGCGTGCGACCCAGAGCAGCTGCTCCCGAAGCTGGGGGACAACGAGGCAAGGAGCCGAAGCACAACACAAGCCGCGGTGAGAAGCAGGTAGTGAAGCGCCAGCGTCCACCTACAAGGAAGCCGGGAAAAAAGAACACGCCGCTGCGAGCCAGGAAGTGCGCTTGCGTGCTACCACCGTCAGTACGGCTCGCGGGTTCAGACAAACCTCCTGGATCGGCAACTTTTTTTTTGAGTGGGCGTGGCTACCGACCGTTGCCGGCTGTGTTCGAGTGTTTAAGGCGTAGGTGGGATGGACCAAAACATCAACAACGCCCTTAAAGACTAGGTAAACAAAACTTAAAAAAAAAAGAAAATGTCAAAACAGAAATGTGGGATTCAAAGAGACAAAGTTTATGTCCAACCGTGGCCAAGGAGATACATCTTTTGGAGGACAGTGTTGTAGTAATGAACAAAGTAAGTAAATTAGCACAGGCGGGCACAGGGATCAGACTGAGTAGCTCCGGGTATAGTGAAAGCAGGCTGTTTCTTGACCTGGCGGGGGCAGGGCTGGGGGAAGCAGTATCTCAACTGAGAGGCTACCCTGAACACCTCTGATTAAGCAAGCAGAGCACCCTTTCAGACTCCAAAACCCGGAGTCTGGGTAGTTAGGTTAATGACAATAGACGTGTAACAGACAAACCCGGTTGTTAAATTCCCCTTCTTAAACTGTTTGCTCTCTCTCTACTTGCGTATAGAATAAAATTCATTCCTGTCTACACAGATCTTCTCAATTTGATCCCTGCTATTCAATCCAACACACATCCACCCATCCCGAAGCTATCAGACTTTCCCAAACGTGTCAGTATCTTCCTCAATTTTTTTAGAGCCTCTGCACACTTGATCCTTTTTACTTAGATACTTTATTCTGGCCCGTACCCTCACTCACCCTGTACTCTGATTGGCAAACTTCTACTTAGGTTTCAAGACTAATATAAATATCACTTCTCTCTGGATCGTGTGGCTCAGTGTATTGAGCGAGGCCTGCCTACGAACAGTTTGATTTCCAGTCAGGTTACTTGCCTTTGTTGTGAACCAGGTCCCGGGATTGGGGGCGTGCAATGAATCTCTCGAACACTGATGTTTCTCGCACTCTCTCCTTCCCTTCTCTCTGTACAAATAAATAGATAAAATTTTTTTTTTAAATGTCACTTCCTATGAGACCTTTTACCAGCTCCCCCAAGGGCAGTTCATTTGCTTTCACATCACATTACAATATGCATGTTTGTATGCTGCCTTTGCTTTCCAGACTATGAGCTCCTCCTAGGCTGAAATAGGGCTTTATTTATCCACAACATCTAGCACAGTGCTGTTGTCAGATTGCAATAGGCTTTGGCTGAACGAACATCTGCTGAAGAAAACAAACAGTAAGATGTTGTAAGAATGGCAAGTAATGTGTTTAATCACATATCCAATCCATGCACATAATTAAAGAGATCCCATGTCTGTGAGCAGGAAAAGCCCTTGTCTCTGACATCTGCTGGGAAAAGTGATGTGTTGAAAAAAACGATTGCATTCTCATGTCACAACTTGGGAAAGGGTCTTAAAACATATAAAGTACAGGTGGGTGAAGAGAGCTGCTTTAAGCTTTAATGAAATACAAGGAATAAATTTAAATATGAGACCATTAGAGAAGGAAATTCAACTAGTTTGGAGCACCTTGGAAAAGGACTTCAGATTAAAGGATTAGGACATTGGTCTTGATCTATAGGACATGGTGTGTGTGTGTTTATGAGAATTGGGGGAGAACAAATAGCTAAAGAAGAAGAAATGGCTAGAGAAAAAAAGAGAAGGTGAATATTGAAAAACGATTATAAAGAAAAGAAGAAAAGTCCAACAATAACGAGTACCTCATCCTCACCCATTGTTCAATAAAGAACAGGCCTTTGGACTCAGACTGCAAGTAAACCATAAACTCTAAACTCTCCTTAGTCTCCAGCTTGCCAACTACAGGTATTAAATAAATAAATAAGTAAATAAATAAAATTAACCAAAATTAATCTCCTATCTGTACTTTTCAAACCCCCATCCTGCTTAAAGAGGGGTACTTAGAAGCTGTAAGAGACAAGAGGGATATGAACAGTGAGAGAAAAGGAGGACATGGGCTCTTTGAACCAGATGCACAGATTAACTCTAGAGACTGACAGTGTAACAGATACTGCAGCCAGATCCTTACCCTCCTAAAGGCCTAGAATATGCCAGACATCGATTATTTTGGCCGGATCCAACTTTATGTTCCTTCCACCATGATCTCACACCCTTAATATTGATTCTTACACATGGTCCCTGGATTTCTGCTCATATAAATTATAAAACCTAAGTAGTTCTTTGGGAGTATAGCACACCTCCTCATGGGTCATACTTTCTACCTCACCCTCATGGGCCTTCTGAAATTTGAGTCTACTTGTAAGTCTAGAAGCAAAGAGAGTGTGAGTGGTGGGTCATGAGGATAATTAGTACTGTCATGGGAGGCAACAACCTTAGGGGGAAGCCATTACTTTCCTCAGACAAGTAGGGTTAATCCCTTCCTAGTCAGGTAGGAGGTGGAAGGGTTGCTACCACAGGAAGTGGGGAAGCTGGTTCTACTGGGCAAGGACATTTCCACTGACAAAGAAGACTCATCAGAATTTAGGAGCTCAGCGTGCCCAGTTTTATCAGGGTCTTCCTTATTCCAATTTACAGGATCCCATTCTTTCTTAATCAATGCTCTCACTTTAACAGAAGACACTCTATGAGGCTGGGTGTTCAACTTGTGTTGTAATTCAGCCAGTCACAGGATAAGATTTTATGTTTGAGTTTTAGTAATCTCAGCACTCAGGCTACAGGAGACAAATGTTTGCTTCGGGGCATACATTGAAGCTTCTCTAGGTCATTTACATGGTGCTTGAGCTGGGCATTCAAATCTCTGAGCATATTCTTTTCTTTCATCACTTTGTCCAGTAACATTAGAAGAAACCAGCAATCTCATTATATTATTTAGTTTTTCAAAAATGTTCAAAAGTATCAGATATACAGTCTCTCAGATACTTGCTTTTTACAAGTGGTCAATTAGGTATGTCCAATGCAGATATTTTATGGATTTCTATTGTATATTCACATCATGGAATTTCAGTGCTCTCTTTACTACTGGAAATGGAGTCATTAGCATCTTTAATCAGATTAGAGCAATTACAGGAATCCCAGAAACAATTTAGAATATTCATCCTTAGCATTCTGTTCCTCTAGAACCACTCTCAGTACCAAAATCTGTATTGGGGTTCTCCAAAGAAAGAAAGGCAGAGAGAGAAAGATTGGTTGTGAGAAATTGGATCACACAATTATGGAGGCTGAGAAGTCCTAATACCTGCAGTTGGCAAGCTGGAGACTAAGGAGAGTTTAGAGTTTATGGTTTACTTGCAGTCTGAGTCCAAAGGCCTGAGAAGCAGAACAGAGGATGTAAATTCCAGTTTGAGCGCTAGTCCAAAGACAGGAGAAGGTCAATGTCCCAGCTTAAAGACAGTTAGGTAAAGAGAGTGAATTCTCCATTACTGAAACTTTTTTTTATTTTGGGCTTCAAGGAATTTGATGAGGCCCACCCGCATTAGGGAGAGCAATCTGCTTTACACAGTTTACTTATTCACATGCTAATCCCTCCGGAAAAACTCTCACAGACGCACCAAGAATAATGGTGAACCCAAGAATCAACTTGACTGGGCAACCTGAGACCCAGTCAAGTTGATAAATAAAATTAACCATCATAGATGTAGAAGTCAGCGCCCGAAAAGGTAACTCCAAACTTCTTTACTCTCCCAGATGATTGACTAGTCAACTTCTTATTCAGTCTTTTAAGGCATAAATGCAAGTCAAATAGGGATGGGTCAAGTACTCCCTGCTGGCTGAAATTTTTCCAAGAAGTCTAGTACTTAGGCCACTGGTTTATTTTCTCTCTTTCTTTTCTTCCTTTTATTTCTCTCTCTCTCTCTTTCTTTCTTTCATTCTTTCTTTCTTTCTCTTTAATTTTCCAAGCTTTATTGAGGTATAAATTACATACAATAAAATTTACCCATTTTAAGTGTACAGTTTGATGAATTTTGGTAATTGTTTCCTTTTATTTTATTTAATTTTTAAATCATGTTGATTCTATTACAGTTGTCTCAATTTTTCCCCCTTTGCCCCCTCTGCCCATTCCCACCCCCACCCCCGAGTCCTGCAGTCAGTTCCCACTCTGTTGTCCATGTCCATGGGTCATTCATACATGTTCTTTGTCTAGTCCCTTCCCCTTTTTCCACCATTGTCGTCCTTCCCCATCCCCTCTGGTCACTTTCAGTCTGCTCCATGTGTCCATGCCTGTGGTTTATTGTGTTCATTAGTTTATTTTGTTGAATAGATTCCACTTATAGGTGAGATCATACAATATTTGTCTATTACCGACTGGCTTATTTCATTTAGCATAATATTCTCCAGTTCCATACATGATGTCGCAAAAGGTAAGAGTTCCTTCTTTCTTTTTCTTTTCAATGCAGATTGATTTTATTTATTTTTTTAAAATGTCAAGATCCAATATATAATATTTAAAAATTTAGATCCATTATAAAGTCTCAGCAATTAAAACAACATGACACCAGCACAAAAATAATCAAGTAGATCAATGAAATAAAATGAGCATTCTAGAAACAAATGTGTATATCTGTCTAACAATGTAATATATAATTAAATTGATATTTCAAATCAATGGGGAAAATAAGACTTATTCAACAAATAAGGTGCATGGACGACTATTACTTGAAATAAAACAAATAGAGAGCCCTATTTCACACAGTATACAAAAAATATTCAGGTGAGTTAAAAACCAGTACGTAAAATCTAAGGAGTTTTAGGAGAAAATAAAAACTAATATTTTTCTTACCCTGAAGTAAAATATTCAAGCCCAGAAGCTATAAAGTAAAATATTGACAATATGACTATATTAAAAATTTAAGACTGTACAGTAATATACATATGAAAGAAGTTAAAGGACAAGTAATAGAATAGGAAAGTATTTGCCACACATCTAAAAAAGGGTTAATAGTTTTTTTTGTGGGGGGGGATTATACAAACCTTTAATCAAAAATGGATAAAGAATACCAAA